TAATGTAACTTTTTATTTTTTAATTAACAACTATAATCGAAATGTAGTGAAAATATTTATACAAATTAGGTACAGTATCTAAAGTACAACAATAGTATTCTAAACATTGTTTTTATATTACCTATACAGTTTTATAAAGCGACTAAAAACTATTAACTAAGATATACAGCTTTTTTTATTTGTTTACATGAAAAAATGAATATCTGAGTATGTAAAACTGCTATTTCTTTGCATTTTCCATTTCTATTTACTTCCTATTCCGCCTTTTGATTTCTGTCGCTTGAGGCAAACAGATGAAACGTTAATATGGGAATGTGACAGCTGTGCGTCTGAATGGAAATCTTTGAGAACAACCCTCTTTGGCTTTGGGTAAAAAATAAAAACTCTCCATTTCAAAATCGTAAATATACCTAAAAAAAAGAAGATTTTTCTCCAACACCGATCTGCTTTTTTAAGTATATATTTCTTCAAATGCCCTAACTTATCAAAGTAGTGACGTAGAATCAAAATGTATACCAACTAATGGTTCTGAGTAATATGYCACTTGTGATGGAATACTTCTTATATCCTGTGCAATGATTAATGACCTGAACAAATGTAATAAAATATAAAGTTGTCAGAATTATTGGACAGATCGACTTTTATGAAATATAAAATTATTTTTGACTGCAAGAGAAGTTGGAACTTTTGTTTGGTAATTTATTTCTAACTTATAAGAAAAATGAGTTTATTTTACGGTTTTGGAAATTTAGAAAATTATAAATACAAATTATTAGAATGGACTATAAAATATACAGACGGCGTGTTAGATAGGCAATAACACTTCACATATGAACAGAACAGGATAAAAATTATGTTATGTTAAGTAGACAAAACACAAAGTCAAGGAAATGTATAAATACAATTAACAAAATTATTTATAATATTAGGTATTATAGAGTGATAATGCTTTAATACATATATTAATTGTTAAGTCATTTCATAKTTGGTAAATATAGATTTCATAATGTTTAAATTATTTATGAAATAGGTAGGTACAATAATAATTAACGTGAAAACAAAATATATGTATTCTAATATTAAAATTAAATATATTTTGAATAAAAAATATAACATTTAGTACTTGATACACCAATAATATAAAGGGATCTGATTTTTATTTTTAAACATTTGTTTTATATAATTCGTATTTTTAGTATTGTTTTATTACTCCCAAGTATTAACAAAATATTATGTGGTATATACCAAAACAATAGTAACTGTACAAAATATCACATAGTAGATACCAAAATAAAATAACAGTTCAAACGTCAAACATCAAACCTTCAGCAAACGTACATGCAATAACATGTTATATTCWGAATTATTATTATTAAACGTAGTTGGTTGGATTACTTGGATTTTAAGAGCTTTATCTGAAGGTTATACCAAATACTAACAATATACTAAATTAATAACCATTATATATCTGTAAAAGTCTTCAACGAGTTCGTGTTACACAATTTTTACAATGTAATCATTGTTTAACTGCAAATTGGGATACTAAAGACGAAAATCCAATTGTAGAAATAATGAAATAACCTCATAGTTATGGTATCTCATTTCAAAACAGTAGGCACGTGTGACATAAACCGAACAGTAACATGAATTTGCGGTTTCTAGAATCTATGAGTATATTATGGTCCAGACACTCAAAGAAGAGCACGAGTTTTTTTCATAATTTTTGCAGTGAAAAGGGGAAAAATCTCGTTTCACTCTCTCCCTTTTACATTTCGCAATGATAGTGTTGTGGCCAACCTAAAAGCTTTAGTTGCGACCGCCCTCGGCTGGCCACTGTCGTTATTAGTTTCGGATTAACAAAAGGGATGCCCCAGGAATGTGATCACGGAATGCAGACCTCGTCGGAATCATAACCAAAAACAACAATTATTTTAACAGCATAAATCACTAAGGAGAACATACAACAACGGAATGCTTATCTCTTACGGTACATAAAACAAGGGTTTAGGTTTTGAACTGGAGGGGAAGTTGAATTTTCAAAAATATGGACCATTAACGTACATATGGGAAAAATAATTTAAAACAAGTATTTTTTTTTCTATATACTATATTTTACAGTATACGAGTAAGTGTTCACAAATAACGTGTTYAACTGTACCGTTTGTTAACACTTTTAAAATTTAAACTCACATGAATAAACCGAAATTTTAAATCGTACACCGTGTGTAAACAGTAGAATAATTAATAAATAATTTCAAGAAGCTTCTATTAAAACAACAGAACTAAAATATCACTAAAAACTTTACTTGTATAATCGCGGTAAATTGACTAAAAATGTCGGGCCGGAAAATAACCGTATGACAGGTCCACAAGTATAAATTATATTTTTCAAATGAACTATTCTCGTTTCCACTCAAATTACAAACTAGATTCACTTTTCTACCAGAAAATATGCAAATAATCAAAATATTTTTACTGCCTCGAAAAATTATGACAGTTATACCAAAAAAAGCTTAAAAACACTCACATTATTATTAAATCAATATTTTATCATAGCCTCGTTTAGAATATAAAATATTTAAACAAATTTTATAAAAGATTTATGGTTTAAAATAAAATAAAAATTAACTGCCTAATGTATAATACTATATCACTATGTATTAGACTACTATTAGTACAACCAATGATACSAAAAAAAATTACGTGGACACACAAATAAATATTTTCAAATAATTTGTAATATAAGTACATCGGTTCAGAGTCTTAATAAGACTTTCTGAGTATCCCCAGCATGGGCTAATTTGTCGCTGTCTAATTAAAATTATATAATTTTTATTATAAACACATAACATATATCATTGAATATCATATATTTAAACAAATAGTCTAGTTTACTCTATTAAAGATAAATTTTTATAGAAGTATGAATTAATAACACCGTAAAATTATTTATGGTAAAATAGTAATAAACATACAATACTTTTGGCTTCAGTCATTTAAAATCTCATCAAAATCATAAAAATCATAACTTAATTTCTAAAACAAGTCTTTAATCATGTTGATACTTATAATTTCTGTTAGACTACAACACAGATTCGCTATAGCCTATCGATATCGCTGGCATTGAGATATTTTAGTTATGATACGATTACATGAATAAAATAATAATTTGTCCATAACATGGGTCAAGCACCATCTGTTGGTGGTGTTCTCTGAATACAAACGACCTAAAAATCACAAAAGCTCCCCTCTATATACATATATAGTCTCCCTACAAAATTGTTGCCATTATTTCCAGTTTTTGAAGCTCCAATTGCGAATTAAATGTAAAATGTAACCCAAGTCAAATAAATAAAAAAGGACGATATCTTACATTTAAATAAATACAAACGACTTTTCAGCAATAAATAATCTAACTGCCAAAAATATTGCCATATTATCATCAAATTTAAACATTCTGTTTCGATTAATTTTAAACTACTTACATTATATTTATGTTTTTATTTCAGAATGTAATATATACACACATTAAAATATATGTACCTATATAAAGAATTAAATTATATATATATATATATATAAATTAAAGTTTTCTTGTAAGATACGATTTAACGATGGATGATTATTGTCAATCCAATTAAATTTATCAGCGTATAAAAGACATTAAAAACGTATAAATATAAATCCAAAATCCAAAAGCTAAATATATCTCTAATGGATTTTGAAAATAAAATAAGTATATTTCCATTATAATAGATGTAATATGGTGAAGTTTAATGTATAAAGATTAGAATGGAAAATATTGAATTTTTAATATTTTGATGTAGTTTCCACATATATGTAGGTATAATAAAAATTTTTTTAAACCAAAAATATTAGTAATATAATGGATAAACTTAAAAGAATAATTTAAATATTTAGATTTAAATGTAAATGTGTTTATTTTATTTATTTCATAAATCTACTCCGGAAAAAAAGCTTTTGTTGAAAGCTCAACAATATTTATGGAGGGTCCGAGAAATATAGATCTTATACACCCTAAATAACAGCATTCGAACCGGACGGACACTATATCCCGTGTTCTGGGAATAATTCGTTTTTGGTACTAAGGCGTTAGATGTTAGGGAGGTATATTTGAATCAGAATAAAACGATAAATCGGTTTTCCGGAACAAACAAACTGTATAAATGAGCATGAATAAAGAAAACATTTGGAATGTTCCTTCAGCGAAATCGGTAGGAATAATGTTCAAAACCTATTAACAATTTATCGAATGCCATTGATATTTACACATAAATAACAAGTTTAAACATACGTCAATATTGTTTGTTAAAATAAGACCATGGCTATTGTAGTTATAGGTATAACAATATACATTATTATAGTATGCAACTATATGCAATATTCATTGCACCAAGTGATTAAATCTGAACAAGTAACTTTCAATACATCAAAAATTAGTTACATTTTTTTTAAATACCGCGGTTCCTAAAAAAAATGTAGTTTCGAACACTTCACGTCACTTTAGTTTTCGCAAACAGAATAGGCGTAACAAATGCCATCACTTACATTGTTTACACACGCCTAACAAACGCTTTACCCTTAAACTCAGTTTAACACTGTCGTTTTCGTACCTACCTATTGATAAATTATTGTTATTTCAGATAAGTATTAAATCACAGAATCGTACGTGCATAACGAGCGGAACAACAACTGTCGGCAGCGACAAATATGTTTCATCTGCGATCACAATAACGACAGCTAACACAATTTAATACCCATCGAACGTGAATTAAATACACAGTACGTGCATAAATGCAATATTATTTTAATAACACGAATCGAACCATACGCAATTTATTCATATTTTCATATTTCCCCGAGTATAAGAGATTAAGAAATTTACCACAACTTTTTTTTTAGTTTTTTAAACAAAATAATTTATTAACATAAMRWTACCTTCTACCTCTTAGATATTATATTATTATTATATATTTTACCTGTTCAACGTGGTGGGTGGTGAATCGTATAGGTCCGTAAGCATGTAGTCTAGATCATTGGCAACGGCACTCAACAACTGTAACATAAATGTAGAGCGAAAAAGTATAAGAAAAAACATCAAGAATTAAGTGTCCTAATGTTTACAGCAAAGAGTAGTCATGGTAACTGGGAAAATACCGCGTATGGTATAATATAATACTGATGATAATGTGTATGAATTACTTTTTATATAAGTTCCCTTCTGTTTTTTTTATCTTGTAAAAAAAATTCGTCATGATAAGCCTATGACAGCTTTTACGATCAAATATGATCCTAAATATATATTTTGTTTGTGATCTTTATTATTTACAATTAATGTTGGCTTTAAACTTTTTTTATCATAATAAAATGGATTTCAATTATCAATTATAAAATAACAACAACTATTTGATTACAATATTAAAAACTAAACACAATATTTTAATTTCATTGAATTTACAAAAAATAATTTGTAATCAATATTTGTAATAAAAAAAATATTTATTCTTCTAAAAATYCCAATAGAAACTTAGAACTCTATACTGACTTTATAAATTGTATAAAAATTTAAAAATTCTTAAATCTGAACCTATTTAGTGTAAAAACACATGATTAACGATAATATAAACACATCATAATACACCGTAACAGTAAAATATAACTTAAAATACCTACTAAAAAAATTCTAATTCTAATTCTAAGAACAATATTCAAATTTAATAAACAAAATACATATATAAGTAAATTAGTGAGAAGCAAGTTATGTCATAAACATAATACATAGGTAAATGTATATGTACGCAGTGTTGAGTATTATATTTTTTAATTAATCTGACGCTTACATTATTTAAACATTTATAATTTTAAAATTAGGAACTTTTATAAGACGCTTTTCAGATATTTAAATATTTATAACTTTCTAATCAAAAATTATCCGKTATACCAACTTTATTTTATAGCTAATATAAAACACAATGGTAACTAAATAACTAAATAACTTGTATTAAAATATTCAATTCATATTCCTTATCAGACTTATATAAAACATAAATATTATAAATTAAAAAATTTATAATTATATGATATTTATCATGTATGTATATCATTATATTGTACCTATATTTTTAAATCATGAAATGAGCTTTTTTAATTAGAATTTCMATTTTTWAAATTTTTTATTAAAAGTAATGGTATTTTTCATATTTTAAAATAATTTAACTAATTAAAGCTTTAAATTAAATATCAACCATTCACTGATTGTATCTTTGCACATTTAACTCAAACTTATTTGAAGTTTAATTATAAACATATTATATTATTGTTATTCGTACTATCTAGAGAGAAAACTTTAATAACATATATACCTAATAATGATAAATATTTAGGAACAAAAAATTGTTCATATAGCTACTTTACTAAATTGGAAAAGTTATTTATGAAGGGATAATATTAGTTTTTCAGTGTATAAAATAGTTCTCAATGATTTTATCTTTATATAACTTCTTCTAATAGGATAACGTTATTTTCTTTTATACGTTCATAATAAAAAAAAAGCGGGTAAGTGGGTATCACTCTGCTGTACATTGGGGGTGGGGTGGGCCTCTGATTATGGTAGGTTAAATTTGAATGCCTAACCTATCGATAGGTATCATTGTATACGAAAAACGATTCTGAACGGAGACGGTTTATCTGTCTAGGATATATTATAGATTATTAAAAATTTCAAATCATAGATTTAAAAAGAAATTTTTTTATGAATTTCTAGCTTAAAATAATTTGCGAATTTTTGTGATTTTTACGTATGTT